GTCACCCCCTCCGTCCCTCACTCTGTCACCAGTCATCCCCTCCCTCTGTCACTAGTCACCCCCTCACTCTAGTGACAGAGTGAGGGAGGGTGTGACTAGTGACAGAGAGAGGGAGGATGTGACTAGTGACAGAGGGAGTGGGTCACTAGTGACCGAGGGAGTGGGTCACTAGTGACAGTAAGGAAGGGGATGACTAGTGACAGAGTGAGTGACTAGTGACAGAGTGAGGGAGGGAGTGGGTGACTAGTGACAGAGTGAGGAAGGGGATGACACAATGACAGAGTGATGGAGGGGGTGACAAGTGACAGAGTGAAGGAGGTGGTAACTGTCACTAGTCACCCCATCACTCTATCACCTGCCACCCCTTCACTCTGTCACTAGTCACCCCCTCACTCTAGTGACAGAGAGAGGGAGGGTGTGACTAGTGACAGAGAGAGGGAGGGTGTGACTAGTGACAGAGTGAGGGAGGGAAGGGGTGACTAGTGAGAGTGAGGGAGGTGGTGATTAGTGACAGAGGGAGGAATGGGGTGACTATCACTGTGTCACCCCCTTCCTCACTCTGTCACTAGTCACCCTCTCCCTCCCTCATTCGGTCACTAGTCACCCCCTCTCTCACTCTGTCACCAGTCATTCCCTCACTCTGTCACCAGTCACCCCTTCCTTCCTTCACAGTGACAGAGTGAGGGGATGACTGGTGACAGAGTGAGGGAAGGGATGACTGGTGACAGAGTGAGGGAATGACTGGTGACAGAGTGAGAGAGGGGGTGAATAGTGACCGAGTGAGGGAGGGAGAGGGTGACTAGTGACAGAGTGAGGGAGGGAGAGGGTGACTAGTGACAGAGTGAGGAAGGGGGTGACACAGTGATAGTCACCCCATTCCTCCCTCTGTCACTAATCACCACCTCCCTCACTCTCACTAGTCACCCCTTCCCTCCCTCACTCTGTCACTAGTCACACCCTCCCTCTCTCTGTCACTAGTCACACCCTTACTGTCACTAGTCACACCCTCCCTCTCTCTGTCACTAGAGTGAGGGGGTGACTAGTGACAGAGTGAGGGGGTGACAGGTGATAGAGTGAGAGAAGGGGTGACTAGTGGTAGAGTGAGGGAAGGGAGGGGTGACTAGTGACAGAGTAAGGGGATGACTGGTGACAGAGTGAGGGAGGGGGTGACACAGTGACGGAGGGAGGTGGTGACTAGTGACAGAGTGAGGGAGGTGGTGACTGTCACTAGTCACCCCATCCCTCTCTCTGTCACTAGTCACTCCCTCCCTAACTCTGTCACTGTGTCACCCGCTTCCTCACTCTGTCACTAGTCACTCCCTCCCTAACTCTGTCACTGTGAAGGAAGGAAGGGGTGACTGGTGATAGAGTTAGGGAGGGAGTGACTAGTGACAGAGTGAGGGAGGGGGTGACACAGTGACAGAGTTAGGGAGGGAGTGACTAGTGACAGAGAGAGGGATGGGGTGACTAGTGACAGTCACCCCCTCCCTCTGTCACCAGTCACCCCCTCCCTCTGTCACCAGTCACCCCCTCACTCTGTCACCAGTCATCCCCTCACTCTGTCACCAGTCACCCCTTCCCTCCCTCACTCTGCCACCAGTCACCCCTTCCCTCCCTCACTCTGCCACTAGTCACCCATTCCCTAACTCTGTCACTAGTCACCCCCTCTCCCTCCCTATGTCACTAGTCACCCCCACTCACTGTGTCTCCCCCTCACTCTGCCACCACTCAACCCCTCCCTCCCTCCCTCACTCTGACACCAGGTACCCCCTCACTCTGCCACCTGTCACAACCTCCCACACTCTTCCACCTGTCACCTTCTCCCTCACACACTGTCACCTGTCACATATGTATTCACACAGACACTATATACAAAAAAAGCACATGTAGTAATCCCGACATGCACAAGTGCATTCACACAGACTCAAATACAAACATGCATTGATACACAGGTCTTCACAATATACACATCCAAAGGAATGCTGTATTATGAGTTATATTTAACATTTATTTAATGCACATATATTTGGCCTTCAAAGGGCCTGGGATCTAATTTTGCCCGCGGGCCCCAAAGGCTCTCAGTCCGCCCCTGATCTGGGGTATGGTGTATTCAGGTACAAACTACCGAATATAGGGCCGTTTGTGCACTTCTACTGAACAAGAAGGGAGGTCGGCGGCTTCAGTGGTGTTCGCGCCAAAATGTATCCGCTTTCAGTTCCATGAGTTGGGCGTCGAACACCGCCGTGAGTTCGCGTGTTTAAAATGGCCGTGACCTCGTGTTCGGTATACGAATGGCGGCCACCCAGCATTCGTCAATTAAGCTGCGGTTAACCGCAGCTTCTGGGAGGTTAATTGCCGACACACTCCAGCTCCCAGGTGGTCCAGTCATTCGTGCGGTGGTTCGGTAGATTGAATCTACCAACCGCCTGGGCAGAAAGGCACGAATAAGCCTTTTGTGCAGGGGAAAAGAAGTCTTTTAACATGGGGCCATACTCCAAAGGCAACAGGCGAGCAACCAGGCTTCTCCAATGCAATGTGGCGAGATTGGTCTCGTCACAAACTGCTAATGGAATCCCTGAAAAAACAACAGAAAGAGGATGATGAAATGGCAAGACAAACCTCAACAAGGATGTGAGCTTCAGACTATGGAATGGAGATCTTGTAAGCTCACAGAGTGTTGCCGCAGGTTTCCACGGCAATGCTCTGATAGAGCTCGTGAGAACTCGAACACTTGGTCTGCAGCTCACACCCGGCGAAGCTGCAGACAGGACAGCGATCCCACTGGACCACCAGGGAAAAGGTGTGTCAATGTTAGCATCCCCACACCACGTTCCCACAAACCACCCCCCACAGTATATATCCCCACTCCATGCCCCCACAAAACACCCCCCCACACCATGCCCCCATAAACAACCCCCCACAGCCTACATCCACACACCATGCCCCCACAGCCTGCACCCCCACACCATGCCCCACAAACCCCCCCCCCATGGCCTATATCCCCACACCATGCCACCACAAACCACCTCTCACACCATGACCCCACAAACCACTCCGCAAGGCTTACATCCCCACACCATGCCCCACAAACCATCCCCCATGGCCTACATCCTCACACCATGCCCCCACAAACCAACCCCCACACTATGCCCCCACAAACAACTCCACGCAGTCTGCATCCCCACATCATGCTCCCACAGCCTGCACCCTCATACCCTGACCCCAACGACCCACACCATGCTATCCCAAGCCTGCCCTCCCACAGCCTGCCCCCCACAGCCTCCTATCCCAAGCCTGCTCCCCCACACCCTGCTACCACACAGCCTCCCCCGCCCTCCCCACAGCCTGCACCCCACAGTCTACTATCCCAAGCCTGGCCCAACCACAGCCTGCTATCCAAGGCATGTCCCCTCCACACCCTGCTACCTTACAGCCTGTTACATATAGTTACGTAGTTACATAGCTGAAAAGAGACTTGTGTCCATCAAGTTCATCCTTCCTCACATTTGATTTTTGCTATTGATCCAAAAGAAGGCAATAAACCCAGTTTGAAGCACAATTTTGCTACAAGCTAGGAAAGAAATTCCTTCTTGACCCCAGAATGGCAGTCAGATTTATCCTTGGATTAAGCAGTTATTACCCTACATTGAAAGATTATATCCTTGAATATTCTGTTTTTGCAAGTATGCATCTAGTAGCTGTTTGAACATCTGTATGGACTCTGATAAAACCACTTCTTTAGGCAGAAAATTCCACATCCTTATTGTTCTTACAGTAAAAAAACCTTTCCTTTGCCTTAGACGGAATCTTCTTTCTTCCAGTCTAAACGCATGACCTCATGTCCTATGTAAAGTCCGGTTTGTGAATAGATTTCCACACAAGTGTTTGTTTTGGCCCCAAATATATTTGCATCATATCCCCTCTCAGGCGACGTTTTTCTAAACTAAATAGGTTTAAATTGGTTAACCTTTCTTCATAGGTTCCATTCATTTATTAATTTTGTAGCCCGCCTCTGCAATTTTTCTAGTGCCATAATATCCTTCTTTAGAACAGGTGCCCAAAATTGCACAGCATATTCAATATGTGGTCTTACCAGTGATTTATAAAGAGGCAAAATAATATTCCCGTCCTGAGAATGAGAATTCCAGCTGAAGTGGTAGAGGTTAACACAGTAAAGGGGTTTAAGCATGCGTGGGATAGGCATAAGGCTATCCTAACTATAAGATAAGGGACTTATGAAAGTATTTAGAAAATTGGGCAGACTAGATGGGCCGAATGGTTCTTATCTGCCGTCACATTCTATGTTTCTATGTTTCTATCACTAAGTACAATGCCAAGTTTCAGATCAAGTGGTGTAAAGCATACAGTGACTGGACTCTTGAGCAGTAGAAATGTTTTATGTGGGTTATGAATCACTTTTTTCTGTTTGGCAGTCTGATGGGTGAGTATGGGTTTAGTGGGTGCCAGGAGAACATTACCTGTCTAAATGTATTGTGCCAACTGTAAAGTTTGGTGGAGGAGGGATAATGGCATAGGGCTGCTTTTCAGAGGTTGAGCTATGTTTCTTACTACCAGTGAAGGAAAATCTTAATGTGTCAGCATTCCAAGTCATTTTGGACAATGCTATGCTTCCAACTTTGTGGGAACAGTTTGGGAAAGGCCCTTTTCTATGCCTTCATGACTGTGTCCCAGTGCACAAAGCAAGGTCCATAAAGACATGGTTGGATGAGTTTGGTGTGGAAGAACCTACAAAGCCCTGACCTCAACCCCATCAAACACCTTTGAACTGAAATGGAGATTGTGAGCCAGGCCTTCTCATCTAATATCAGTGCCTGACCTCACAAATGCTCTACTAGATGAATGGGAAAACATTAAGGCTTTTGCCTGTAATTGTGGGAGGGGCATGATTTCCTTACTTAAAGGGACTCCTTACCTTACTCCACACCATTCTTTTTCTAGCGATTTGCAAGTCCCTCCCACCACTCCCACTACTCCATCATAACCTTTTACAGTTCTACAAGCATACCAGCCTACTAGCATCATCGGTTCCGGCACACCTCAACTGACTTTTTCCATTCTGTATTACGGTAATATATATATATATTTGTATATATGAAAATAAGGTAGTCAAGGTGTTCTAGATACAGCATTACAATCCACAAGATCTATCCTTTCAGTGATCATCAATTTGTCTCCTCTGTCTACTCCTGACACACTATTTTTTTGGAGAGGCAGTAAATTTATGTCGGTAATGTTAATTTGCTGGCATAATGACTTTGTGATCAGAGAAAATTCCAAAAGGTGACGAGTAGAGTTGAGCGGTACCGAACATTAGGTTTTTTTGGACCCCGGACCCGAACACGGACATATCACTGTATGTTCAGGTTGGAGTTCGGTGTTCGGCGATTTAATGGCGCATTTTGAAAGGCTGCAGGGCAGCCAATCAACAAGCGTTTGACTCGTGTGCCCTGAGTAGCCATCACAGCCATGCCTACTAATGGCATGGCTGTGATTGGCCAGTGCAGCATGTGACCCAGCATGTGACCGAGTATGTAGCTCCACACGCACATGCGGTCTTATTAGTGTAGGGAGAGGATGCTGCCGCTGATAGGGACAGCTTAGGAAAGAATTCTGCAAACTAGTACATTAGTGGGGTGGGATGCACTTCATATCTGAGAGTCAAATAGAAGCTTTAAATATCTCGAGTTACATCAGAGTTTTAAAAAGTCATTTTTTTTTTTGTGCTAAATAGTACATTAGTGGGATAGTACATTAGTGGGGTGCACTTGATATCTGAGAGTCAAATAGAATCGTCAAATACTGCTGTGACATTGCAGTTTTAAAACTTAAAATGTTTTGGGTGCTTAAAAGTACATTAGGGGGGTGCACTTGATATCTGAGAGTCAAATAGAAGCGTCAAATACTGCTGTCACATTGCAGTTTTAAAACTTAAAATTATTTGGGTGCTAAACTGCTAAATAGTATTTTAGTGGGGTGCACTTCATATCTGAGAGTCAAATCAAAGCATCTTAAAGTGTGCTTATAGCGCCATTGTAAAAATTCTAATTTTCTGGGTGCTAATCTGCTAAATAGTACATTTTGGGGCCTGCGTTGCACTTCATATCTGAGAGTCAAATCGAAGCGCCTAAAAGTGTGCTTACAGCGCAGTTGTAAAAATTCAAATTTTCTGGGTGCTAATCTGCTAAATAGTACATTTTGGGGGGTGCACTTCATATCTGAGAGTCAAATAGAAGCGTCTAACAGTGTGCTTACAGCGCAGTTGTAAAAATTCTAATTTTCTGGGTGCTAATCTGCTAAATAGTGCATTTTGGGGCCTGCGGTGCACTTCATATCTGAGAGTCAAATCGAAGCATCTAATAGTGTGCTTACAGCGCAGTGGTAAACATTCTTTTTTTCTGGGTGTTAATTTGCTAAATAGTACATTTTGTGGCCCACTCTTCATTTCTGAGAGTCAAATAGAAGAGCCTAATACTGCGGTTACGGCGCAATTGTAAACATTCTAATTGTTTTGGTGCTAAACTGCTAAATAGTACATTTTGGGGCGTGCACTTTATATCTGAGAGTCAAATAGAAGCGTCTACTAATGCGCAAACATTCTAATTGTTTTGCTGCTAATCTGCTGCTTACATTTGAGTTTTAAAAAGTCATTTTTTTTTGTGCTAAATAGTATATTTGGGGTGTTCACTTCATATCTGAGAGTAAAATCGAAGCGTAACTTTACATCGGTCACTTGTAATATTGTTTCACACCTACAACACTTGTTACACAGATCTAAGTGATAGAAAACAGATTGATATTTTCTACACTAGAAACTACCAGATTACAAGCTGCTATATTTAAACCAGTTATCAATAGCTAAGAGGTACTTAAACAATATTGCAATTATGGGGCAATATCCTCACAAGTCAAACTGAGAGGTCAGTTTATAGGGACAACTGTTGCCTGGATACAATTCTAAAACAACTTCCAAATGTCCTTTGCAGACTTTACATGCTGGAAAAACACAGGTGCCAGCGGCTTTCTGCAGTGTGATGTGGAGGATGATGAGGTCCTAGACCCCACATGGAATCAAGGTCATGCGAGTGACGTGTGCAGTTTGGAGGAAGAGGCGCTGGTCGCACAGAGGCACCAGCCCAGCATAAGAGGGAGCAGGGTGCAAAAGCGGAGCGGCCGTCCCCTAGTGCTCGTCGGCATATATTAGTTCGAGAATTACCAGTTATCCAAGTAATACATGTAGCGATCAAATTATCCATAATAGAGTTTAGCGAACCCGAACTGCAAAGTTCGGGTTCATACCAGATATAACGATCCTTTCGTAGTTTCACAGTCAGGTGGGCAGTCCGGTGACCAGGACCCAAACACTGTCTGGGTGGCAGTTGGACGACCGGGACCCATTATGCCTGATGTTGAAGTTAGGAGTCACAGTGTGGAATGGATTAGCAGGGTCTGGTGCAGGGTAACCACATGCCCCCTGGTGTTGAGCACCAGCATTTGTGCGGTCAAATACCAGGACCCTGATGCAGCTTCAGTAAAAAGAGTACTGTATACCAGAAGCCATCACCAGACTGATCCGCAACTTGGAACAGGATGTGACATTCACTGTAGCGGATGTGTGCGCTTTTGGCGTTGTCACCCTGCTGCTGCTCTCCTGTCTGTGCTGCAGCGTAACTTTGACCTTCCCGCTCACCGCCTCATGAGACTGTGCGAGCAGCAACAGATGATAGTGGAGTTTCAGCTGCAGCACGCATGGGTCAGTGGCTCTGCACCAGACTTCCCTCTAATTGATCAGAGTTAAAGGATTTCAAGTGGACTCATTACAATTACAGGGCCTCTATTGAGTCCTGTATTGTTATTTGTCGTTACTACCTTCCCGCGTCAGGAGTGGGTCATTTGCACGCCTGGTGCCTTCCTTGCATGTGGTAGTCGTTTCTCAGGGTCCCTGTACGGAATGGAACCCTGATTCCCCATTACCCGTGGTCACCATGGTAGGCGCAAAAACTGGCATCGAATGTTGATATGGATGACATCCACATGCAAAGTCACCGCCACAGGGATGTGTGATTGGCCCATTGTTCTCTAGAGTCAATAAAGTGCCTGCACAACTATAATGTCAACAGCTACTATATATAAAAAACAGTGTTGGCTACCTCATCCTTCTCCTCCACCGCCATGGTCACCGCCTCCTCAACCTATGGGTCACTTAGTATAAACTATGTACATATTAACAGAGGCTTGCGAAGGCCTTTTCTCCATGCATCAGGAGTTGAGCATTTCTTAATGCATCAGGACTGCAAGAAATGCACCGCAGGCCGCAAATGTTTCTTTTTTTGTATGTCCCAATATTTTGTGAGCTACCACAATAAAAAAAAACAAAAAAAACAAAAAAACATAAAAAACAGTGTTGGCTACCTCCTCCTCCTCCTCCTCCTATACCGCCATGGTCACTGCCTCCTCAACCTATGGGTCACTTAGTATAAACTATGTACACAATAGCAGAGGCTTGTGAAGGCCTTTTCTCCGTGCATCAGGAGTTGAGCATTTTTCCATGCATCAGGACTGCAAGAAATGCATCGCAGGCCGCAAATGTTTCTTTTTTTGTATGTCCAAATATTTTGGGGGCTACCCCAGTTAAAATAAAAAAAATAGATATATATAAACAGTGTTGGCTACCTCCTCCTCCTCCACCGCTTCCACCTACACCGCCATGGTCACCGCCTCCTCAACCTATGGTTCATGTCGTATAAACTATGTACACAATAGCAGAGGCTTGTGAAGGCCTTTTCTCCATGCATCAGAGAATACCCTGCACTCCAACCCTTTCTCAAATGGATAATTCTGGTGATCTTCCTGACAGCCATGCTTTAGATTTTGATTTATGTTCTTCCAAAGCTAAAATCAAAGATTCCATCTAGTGCTATTTTATGGCTCAGCTATATTTTGTATTTCTATGTTATTTTTAGTGATTTCCCTATCCACATTTGTTTGCAGGGCACTTGTCCTACTCTTACCCCCCATTTTACTTGCTTTTGCAGCTCTCTAGCTCTTTCCAGGAGTTTTTTAGAGGAATTTTTGTGCCCAAAAGTTTGTGTCCCAATTGACTTCAATGGGGTTCAGGGTCAAGTTCGGGGTCAAGTTCGAGCCTGAACCCGGACTTTTTTTCAAAGTTCGGCCAAACCCCCCGGACCCGAACATCCAGCTGTCCGCTCAACTCTAGTGACAAGGCATAATGTGAGCTGTCTAAAGGTCACTGGAGAAAGTGACATTACGATTCAAGTTATGTTATGGTGGTCATACTGATATATGATATAAAAAAACAACCAAAAAAAGGACGAAAAAAGAAAATAAGATAATTTTCACAGTGTTATGATGTAAATACATATATAAATAAATATAAGTCAATAGGAAGATCACAAGTAGCCGATATTTTGTATCTTGTAAACAAGTTTTGTTTCCTCATCATACTTTGATCCTTTAGTCGATTTGTTTTGCTGCTGGAGATGTATGTCCACCTTTGGCAGCATAATTTGCTGACCCAGAACGAGATTTTCAGGATAGTGGCTAATGTGAAAGCATAGCATACTGGTGACAAAGATTGTAAGATAATATCTGAATGTCTTTTTTTTATAGGTGCAGAATGAGCAAATAAAAAATGTAAATATATTATTTACATTCAAATTGCAGGTGATCCTGACTAGCACATTTACACATGAATGTTGGTTTGTTCTACCTTAATATATATTTTACCAACTCTGTAGTGAATTGGTTAATCCATTTTGATGCATCTTTTGAAGCTGTTAATAAAGCGTAACATTCCTCCTCATTGCTTAATGGACAATCCCTAAAGCCTAGTTGTACAATTTGTTTATAACTGTTATAACTGATACGTCTTAGCTATGTTATAGCTCAGGTTAAAGCAGAAGATCTCTCTAAAACTATTGAAATATGCAATAAAAAAAGAATATGGTTACATTATATTTTCGTTGTCTATATTATATAAACAAGATAGGTTCTTCCAATTGCTCTAGTATGCATGTTTATTGGGTCTATTAGAGTTATATATTAAACTCCAAATGGTAGCGAATTGAATTCTGAATGCAAAGTTGAGGTTAAAATAGCTACTCTGTGACAAAAGATGAGAAGCTTAAATTGTGTCAAGCCAAGTTAATTTGCTTCCTTTTGGAATATAGAGAATAACCCTGCATGTGTCTATACAGTAGCAATTCATGTTAGTGTTTAGAGAGTTCCATAACATATTTTAACTGATAGAAAATTAAACATGTATGTTTATATTTTTATTATTGTGCACCACAATATTTTTGTTCAGATAACAAACAATTAAGGCTTCTGGATATGGATTTCTAAACATAGTATGGTTTTGTCCAGACTTACCATAAAATTCCAAATCCATGTATTTAAGATTCAAGTGAGACATCTAGAGGTGATTATATGAATTTCAGTTTGAATTCATATTTTAACTCCTCATGCCATGAAATACATTTTTCTTATATGTGTAAATAATGTTACTATGTTAATTGTATGCTTTGTCTGCTAACATAGACAAGACATTTTAAGGGCTATAGCTGGTCTATAACGCATTTTAATGAGCCTCATTGCTAATAAAGCAATCTAAGATTTAATTTTACAATTAAATAGATGTCGAATTAGAAGTTCATTATTCTTCCAAATTTGGGCTGATCGAATGAATTCTCGAACTATTAGCTGAAATGTCCCTAAATAATTTACCGAACGAATTGTGGAATTGATGAGCATGTTTCTTTTGTTTGTGATTCGTAAATCCACCTGTGGTGCCATAAAACAAAATGATTAATGGGTGATATAAATATTGATGGCTAGGGGACAGGCACTAAACACTGATTTACAGATAAAGAAAGAAATGGTAATATAATATATAATTTATACATATAATGATTTTTTTACTGCTCTTCCTCTTTTTTCTGGTTACTTTTTGTCACTTAATCTGTGAATCAAATGGCTGAATTTTTTTTATTTTTTTTTATCTCGTATGCAACATGTTAGCAGACATACAACAGGTTTGAAAAGAGGGTGCATTGTTGCCTACGCAGAGGCAGATGACGTCAAACAAACAAGAGTAAGGCTTATTACATATTTCGTAGTCGTTCCGACCTGGGTAATGATGGGCATTTCGTAACCTCTGGTAGAGAGCAGTTTACCCACGCAGGGGTAGTGTTGTATACTTAGTAAATGGTTTGGGATGCGGGGTTGAGTCATCAGTAGCTTTACAACAGTGGCCTACGCAGAGGCTTATAACATATGGTCCCTGTGGTTTTTGAGGACGGCATCTTGTTTTGTATTGTACGTTTCTTAAGCAGCTTGGGTATGTGGTCTCATAGGGCGTAGCGACTATGGTGATATTGTTTTACGATATATTGCATAGTGGACGCCATTGCGTGTCTTCCGTAGGGAATTGGTTAGCCGATGTTAGGGTGCTATATAATGTATCTAGGTCAGGTTTCATAGCGGAATAAAGCGGTCCATCCCTATTGGTTGCCTTGTAGGAGCGTCTGTGTTCAGAACCCATGACGTGGCGCCGTTGTGATATTTCTCTCGGTTTGAGGCTGTCTCCGGGTTGGGGTCAGTCGGGCTATCTGTGTGTCTTCGTGTGGTTGTGAGTGTGGGGGATGTGTTCTTGTGTGTGTGCCACTGGTGGTGTTGATTTAGTAGTTTGGGGGCGATGGCTTATGGTCCCGATGGGTGGAGGACTTGTTTGGCGGGCTTCTGTGGGTAGTGTCATCTTCCCTTTATCTAGCGTGGTGCCCTGGTCCTGGAGTCCGGTCTCATTCACCCTGGATCCCGGTCTCGTCCTTCCATGTCTACGGTCGGGGTTCAGTGTTGGTTCAGGGCAGATTTGTGTCTCGACTCATGGGACAACGTGCGCGTCGGGGGCGCTGAGGTGGCGTGTGGTTGCGTAGGGGGGAGATCTTGGGTGTCCTCCCTCCTCCTCTCCTCTTGTGTCTTGTGAAGGTTAGGACCGTGGGGATGGGATGGGTGTTCTGTGTGGTACAGCATGGCCCTGTGGTGCTATGTCTGCGTTCGTTCTGTCTTAGTGTTTTGTGGGGGCATATGTCATGTTCCTGGGGGGGTTTAGAGGTGGGGTCACCCCGCGGGACCGGAGCCCCCACGCCCCACCAGTGCCCGGGCCCCCCCTCAGCACAATTTGTTGCATGTGTTCCCAATGCGGTCTTCGGGTGTCGCTGCCTTGGTCCTCAGGTGCCCTGTCTCCAGGTGTGTGTGCCGTGGTCTTCTGGTCTGCGTGGTGTGTTGCCCTGTGATCCGTAGGCCCTCAACCGTCGTTGTCCGTCCGTCGTGGGTGTGGTCCTGGGTTTGGTCTAGCGGTTAGCCATTGTAGCCAGTGGAACCATGTCTTCAGGTACATCTGGGGTCTCCCTTTTGCAGTCAGAATCATTTCCTCTATAGTCCTTATGTCTTCTACCCTTGTTATCCAGTCCGTCAGGGTTGGTATTATGGATTTTTTCAAGAATGTTGGGATTAGGCTACGTGCTGCATTCACTAGGTATGGGGTGATCATTTTTTTGTAGGCAGTGGGTTGTAGAGGAGTCAGGTGTAGTAGGTAGTTTTCTGGCATGAGTTCTATGGCGTTGTCTGTGAGCGTTGTGGCAACCTGGTGTATTTCGTGCCAGAAGGGTTTGATCCGCAGGCATGTCCACCAGATGTGGTATAGCATGCCCAGCTCAGTTCCGCATCTCCAACATTCTGGTGCGCTTGTGTCATACATAGTGGCCAGTTTCTCTGGTGTTTTATACCAGTGCAATATCATTTTGTATCCTGATTCTTGGTATCTGGTGCTTATGGAGGTTTTATGTGTCATCGTGAATGCTGTGGTCCATTGGTCTTGGGTCAGTGGATGCCCAATGTCTCTTTCCCAGTATCTGGTTAAGTAAGGAAGTCGGGTGTCTCCCTGTGGTGAGTTTAGTAGTCGGTACAGGAGTGATATGGCGTGCGGCGTGGGGGCGTCTTGCGTACAGATAACCTCAAATGTGGTCAGGGGTTTAGCAGCCGAGTATAGGTTGGGGATTCGCTTCAGTGCGCTCCCCAATTGGTGATATTGGAATTTAGTCATGTGGTCAGGAGGGGTGGGTGTCGGCAGTTCCGTTAACGGGGGAATGGTCCCGTTCACTAGGACGTGTTGTAGCCTGCATGGGAATGGAAGGCCCAAGTTAGTCAAGGTCTGGGAGTTGTTGATCATGTGGAATTGTGTTGTGCCCGAGAGTTGGTATAGAGGGGAGATGGGTGGGGCGAGGTCCGGATTCCCTGCCATTCTGCTCCACACCTTCAGTGTTGCCACTATCATGGGGTGTCGGG